CCTACTGGATTCATCCAGACAGAACCTGCCTGGAGTTGAATAGGAGTGTTTTTACATGCGGACAAAAGTGTCTGTCCAGAATTGTTTTACATGAAACAAGGGAAATGGCAGTATAAAATGAAGCATGAGTCTATTCTAGATAAAATAAGTGAGGCTGCTATTTTCCCTTGTACTTCATAGTCAAAAGAAATATCAAGGACTTTACAAAGATTAAGTACGTTTGCCATTGAAATCCAGCTATCACTGGTAATTCAGCAATGCACTTAGTTAAAACTAGAACCCAGGACTCAAGATTTTCAGCTTCTTTGCTTTAAGGGTTGGGCAATACCTTCACCTTAAAACACTTATTTGTGTATCTTTTATGGTCTGCTGGTTTTCCTTTTTTTTTTTTTTTTAAACTAACTTCTTTTTTCTCTCCGTGAACAGATTTCTACACTTCCTTTTAAATGCCTGTGCCAGAAGTTGATGCTAGGAGCTGTGGTTGTTGTTTTGTTTTGGTGGACCATAAACCATGCATTACAGAACTAATACAAAGAATTGTCATAGGTGGTCATTGCTGGACTCTGACCAAGATACTTAACACCCAGGTGGTGGTATTTGGTTAGGTTGGGTTTTTTTAAATTTCTGTTAATGAAGTCTCTTGTATATTTAAAGCCTAAGCTAGTGCTGGGTCACTGCTGTTTCATACTTTTTTAAAAAAAACAAAAATGTTTAATGAGGTTGTTGCTGGATAACTGCCTAAACTGCCAGCTTTGGAATACACAAGTCCAGGTGATAAGAATGTGTTGGTTGTTTGTTTTTTAATGCAACAGAAGATGACTACTTCATAAAAACAAGTTTAAAACAAGGTGATTTTGGGAGGACAGAAGGCATGCTGGTCATCCTTTAACTTCTGCATTGTAAAACTTATAGCAACTATTAAAATCTTAATATTTTTCAAAACTAAAAACTGTTGCTAAAATATTTCTCTGGTCTCCTCTTTTGTAAAACCTAGTGTCCAAAGTTCCCTACATTTTAACTAGTACAAGGTCTTTCTTGTATTGCTTAATAACAGGAATGTGAAATGAGGTCTTAATTAAAATTAGCAAGTAGAATGATGATTCATGGGAAATGAAACCCTTTGGACAGGGCTATCTAACCCCTACACAGCCCCCAGCCTCTTTTCAAGCTGCCACTGCCCCCACCACCCTTGTCAGCTTAGGTGACTGGAGCCATCAGGCTCCCCCTCCCTCCTCCAGGGATGGAAGTGTGCTGCATGTGGCAGGGGGAAATCGGGTGTGCCCAGAAGTTGGGCAGCCCAGCTTTAAGAGCTATGGCACCTTAATGATAGTAATGAAGGTGGTCTGAACTCCACCTCTACCCTGTCAAGTCTAGCCTATTTCATTTCCAGTAGGCCTAAAAGTATTTACTAACAGGGCAGCAGAAGTGGGCTATTTATTTTTTACAGCAAACCACTTAGACCCACAGTTTCAGGAGGCAATAAACAAATCTGTGAATTTGGAGAACAACTTTAATGAAAACAATATTGGAAATAGTTTTGGCCATGGATTTTTTTTTTTTTTTTAATTAGATTCGTAAGAAAATGTGCGCACCATTCTCTTGCATATTCTAACTCAGTGGCTAGGACACTCAAATTTCTCCTCTCCCCAGAAAGTGCCCTACCAGACAACTTGGTATTTTGGGCTTAGCCTCTTCCAGTTTTTCCTGGAAGAGCTGTTCCATTTTGTAGAAATAATGATATATTAATTAGCCCCTATAGCTAAGTGATCTGAACATTCTCTTAGGAAACAGCTGGAGTTTAGTCCCTGCTCCAATGAATGTTTAATCACTTACATGGAGTGGAAAAGTTCTAAAAGAGGAGACAAGATTCAGGGGTTTGCTGGTTCAAATACTCTACTGTGAGATGGGCGCATCAAGGGCAAGCTCTTGATCCAATCAGGCCAAAAGGGTGTTTTAACACAGGTCTCCCACAATCCAAATACGCGATATAATCCATGGGAAGAGAACAGGGACAGCAGCACCAGCTTTTAAACTATTTTTTTAAAAAAGGTTTTGTATCAAATAATAATAAAAACATCTATATTTGTTTTTTCAATTTGGTCTGCAGACCAAATTAATAATAAAATTCAACTCTGTCTCAGGTCTCTTTCTAACGCCATGAACTGTCTGAGAAAAAGTTCTTATTTCTCATTCTCAAACACTTGCCCTATAAATGAAAGAAATGCATCTAGGAACCATTTACTATATTCATACCTACAGTAAGTAGAGTATGCTAAAAATCAAGCGAAGATACTGCCTTAACCAGTTGGTGGAGGCTGAAAATCCATATTGCAAAATTCTGAAGACAATATCTTTATGCTGTTAGCTCACTTTTATAAGCACTTAAATGATCTCAGCTTAGGATCTGACACTGCCCTGTTGGATAAATTTCAATCAAAAAAGAAAATCCATTACTTCCTATTAAGTTAGCAAAGCTCACATAACTAGCCCTTACACAGAAAGGGATGTTTAGAGAGGAAAACATCATGGTGCTCATCTTGTCTGAAAACCACATTTAGAATGACTACCATTTAGAAAGACTAAAAACATAGTAGAAGGAAGCATGTAGAAACAAAATCTTATTAAAAGAGCTATTGACACAATATGAATAGAATTTCTTTTAACAACAGAAATTCACAAAAACAAGATATATGAATTAAAGTCACAAGCATCTGTGATCTAAATGAGATCCAAAAAACAAAACAACAACCCCACCCAAATCAGAAAATGGAAATTAAAAAAAAAAAATTTTTTTAAATAAATTTGCCCTTACTTATGAATGAATACACCCAACGCCAATGTAAACCTTAATCAAGACACATCCTTGCTCACCAACACAGTGTAGCACAATCTAGATTCCTTTTGCTACAGTGTAACCTGGAGATAAAACACAAATGTACACTTGAACAATTCAGGGATGGTCATTTGGGCTCAAGGGCCATGTAGGGAGTTTTGATGAACTGTAGTGGGGCAACTCAGAACCTCCCACCTCCCCAACAACTCCCTAAAACTCCTTATGGGGCTTTGGGCAGGCAGGAGTAGTGTTCAAGAGTAGGATGGGCACAATTTGCTCTTGCACACCCAGCCCTGTGGTAGGGGAGGGAGCATGCACATGGAGGGGTGAGCTGTCTGAGCACTTTTTCCCAGGAGCTAGCCAGGGGTGAGAGGGGAAGGGGGAGGCGGGGGGCACAGGGCACATGCAGCAGAGCTCACCCAGTCCACGGTTGCCCCCACAGCGTTCTGCATGGGGCGCAACCCCACCTGGGGCAGTCTACGCTATGCTGCTACATGCCTGCCAGCCTGGCCCTTGCCAGCATGCAGTTTCTGGCAGGGCTGTCCCCAGTGTGGCTGCAGCCGGCTGGATGCTGCTGTGCTGCCCTCGCCTCCTGCAGGAGCCACCCGGCTGAAGCTTCCCACCCCACCACATTTATCTGCCTGCTGGGAGCCTTGGAGCAGGGATAGGAGTGGAGTGAGCCTTGGAGCAGGGGCTGGAGGTGAGGGGAGCACAGCAGCACCCAGCTGGCTGCAGCTGCATTGGAAACAACCCTGCTGGAAGCTGCTCAGTGGCCAGGGCCCAGGCTGGCAGAACTGTTCTGCTCCTCTCACTTCCAGTGGCAGTTCCTTCTCATACCCCTGCTGAGCCACTCTGGGCTAGGGGGAACTTCAGCTGGGTGGCTCCTCCCCCACAGCTGGGGACAGCTCCAGGCTGCCTTCCACCTGCTCCCTCCCCAGTCCACAGGTGGTTGCTCATCACGCTAGGCAGGCAGAGCGGATGAAAGGCAGCTGGGAAGCTGGAGCCAGAGCCCCGCACACTGGGACAGGAGTCACCCAGCTGAAGCTCCCCCCTACTTGGAGCAGCACGGCAGGAGGAGTTGTCGCTGCTGGAGGCAAGGGGAGCAGAACAGTCCCTCTGGCCATGGACCCTGGGCCACAGGCTGGACCCAGTCAGTTCACGAACCAGATCTGGCCCACAGGCCATATTTTGCCCACCCCGAGTTACAGGGAAGAGTGATAGCCTTAGAAGCCAAGTCACAAGCAAGTGGCTCATGGAACCAGCATTCAGTTCTCTACTCTGCTGCATATTTCCTTGTGAAAAAGTACCCTCCAGAAAATTGGGTTACACATCCTGCTTCCCCTCAATCCCATGCAAAGAAATGTACACTGGTGTCAATGCCATTTGGTCTTTTGGTGTTTGTGAATTTGGAAGAATTTAGCTCTAAGTACCTACATACATCTGGAAGTGTGGATTAGGCATCCAAGATCTAAGAATCTTAATGAATCCATTATTGCTGCCTTCTTGCTTGCCACATGCTAATACTAACACACAGAAAAGATACTTGTCCTCATGCTTAGAATTCCACAAGTGCAATGTGAAATCAGTGACTGCTAGTGCACATCTTACAGCCTGCCAAATGCAAAATACATTTTTTTAAAATAATTTGTTACAGCAGCATAGGAGGTAGAAATGAGTGCATTGATGCTTATGTTGCATTTGTGAAAAACACACTGCTCAAAGAATTGAGACACTTGTCTTGAGGTAATCACAACATATGCTTAAACCAAACACTTCAGAGAAGCAAAATATTAGCTAAAACCCTGCACATTTGCTCTAATTCTTACCCCTCCTTGAATAAACAGGAACAGTAAGAGTGCAGTGCAGTGCCTTCGAAATGAGGAGTGTTTCACTACTGTGCCGTGGAACAGGTTGCAAAGCTACCTGTATTCTCTATTTGCCACTTAATTCTATATTTACCAATGAAGACTTCCATCATGCTCTCTCCCAAAGCAGAGTTATGTTCACGCTTAAGCCTCCAGTAAGTTAAAAACAATACACTGCATACATGCTCCTTATGTTAAACGGTAACAAAATATGACTTAAATGCAAAAATATATGTAACTACTGAATATGAAAAAAGTTCTAAATAACAAGACACAAAAAAGGACTCTTGTACTTCTAAACTGAGACTGCAGCACTATTTTTCTCTCTCTCTCATGTATGCACACTACCATACCTCCCTTCTAGGAATCTGAGCCGCTGGTTGGAAAGAACCAGTTAAGACTCCTCTTTTGCTAAACTGTAAGACTGTAACATTACATTCAAAATCTCAGAAACTTACCTAGCATCTCATTCAAGTCCAACCTTTGCAAGTCCCTGGATAATTACACATCCTATTTTTAATACACTCTCCTTAATGAAACCACAAGTATCTGAACAGTAAGTTAAACATTAAAATGACAAGTCTACAATAGCCAAAGATAAAACAGATGAAGCCTTGCTTTGTGCTTTATTATAGTGAATGTTTATACATGCCAAAAGTGGAATTTGAACCAAGAGGTTCTGGCAGATTCAGCAGTTTCAAACCATATAAAAAACTGTTAATACCAATTTATTCCA